ATATTCCCTCTCCTTTTCCCTTAAATAACATAATTTATTTAAGATAGTCCAATTCTAGCTTAAATTTATTCAACCTATACCTGTTTTTGAAGCTTTATAAATTTGCACTACCATAATCAAATTAACTTTAAGTACAAACATTATCGATTCGGGTATCCCTTCCAAGTATGTTCTAGTTCCTTAATTTTATCATAATTCTTATTTATTTCATCTTCCACTAATATCCCTTAATTAAAATAAAATATTAATCTATCCTACACATATCTAATCCATCAATTAATCAATCTCTTTAAGCTGACAGAAGAAAATCAGACCTTAAATTATTTCAATCCATTAGCCAAAATTCAAATTTCATCCATAAAATTGTCATAACTAATAACCTCCATGTTATCAAACAAACAAATCATCTTATTAGATTAACACAACATTGCATAGTAATTTTCTTACAAGTAAACCTATTGTCCTAAAGAAAAACACATTCTTAATCAATTTAATATATATTCCATTAATCACCATATCTAATCGATCAATCAATCTCTTTAAGCTGACAAAATAATATCAAACCTTAAATCATTTCAATTCATTGGGCATCAAGCAAATAGATCATCTTATTAGAAATAGTAATTTTCATATAGATAAACGTTATATATCTTTCATTGGTCGCCCGTTTATCTTACCTCTGGCTCATAATCTTAGTCCTTAAATCAATCCATGATTCTAAATTGCCTTTAATCCAAATGTTAAACCTTAAATCATTTCAATTCATTAAACAAAATTCAAATTTCATCCAATTGATTATCATGCCTTATTACATCTATGTTATCATACAGAAAGGTCATCTTACTAATTTAAAACATTCAGGTAATTATTGAAACCATGCAAATCTAAAAAGCCAACATTTTTTCAATTCCAATACATAATAATTTTTATCAAAATAAACCTATTATTCCAAAAGGTACATTCTTGATCTATTTAAAATATCTATTCTAATAATCACCCTCCTATATACTGTATGTATGTATGTATGTATGTGTGTGTGTGTGTGTGTATGTATATATATATATATATATATATATATATATATATATATATATATATATATATATATATACATACTGTATATACTACTCCCAGAAGCACAAAGCTGAAGACACCAGCCTGAAGATGACGAATGTGACTTCGTCGAAACGTCGCCAAGAAACTTCTAATTCTACGCG